GGTATCAGGTCGGTTAGGTAGTTTGGGGCGGCGTTGTGAATGGCTTTGTAGGTCAGAGTTAGCAATTTGAATTTGATGCGCTGGGCAATCGGGAGCCAGTGAAGGGATTGGCAGAGGGGGGTGGCAGATGTGGAGCGGTTGGTGAGGTGGATGAGTCTAGCCGCTGAGTTCAGGATAGACTGGAGTGGGGATAGCGTTTGTTTGGGTAGGCCAGTGAGAAGGGAGTTGCAGTAGTCCAGGCGTGAGATGACGAGGGAGTGTGCAAGTTGTTTAGTGGTGTCTGGGGTGAGGAAGGTACGTATCTTGGAGATGTTGCGGAGGTGAGGCTGCATGACCTTGATAGTGATTGGACGTGAGGTGGGAAGGAAAGGTTATAGGTATATGTAAACCCTTACCTGTTAAAACAACCCATTCAGTTTAAAATAGAAATGCAAGGCAATACTTTTGTTTATAGATATACAGTAATATCATAAATACCTTTTTATTTCTTTTTTTTTTTTAATAAGTAATAACATGGCCTCTGTTCTTACTTGCATAAAAGACTTAAAGTGTTACTAAACCCAGGACCCTGCATTCACTATATCTGATCTCCCACAGTACATGGAAAATGGAAAGGCAATTATTTTAGTAAATATAAACTGCTAAATACTTTTTTTCATTAGCAGTATATCTCTATCGGTTTCTGTCTGAGCACTGGTTAAAGCTTGTAGGAGGACTTTTCATTCTTCTCTGACAGTCATATGAGGCTGCATGACCCCTAGCCCTGGACAGTGCTGATTGGGCCTGTGATGATCACATGCACCCTCCCAGAAAAAAAAAAATTCACCAAACTGAGCATGTGCAGAGTGAAAGGTTGGTATAACAAACACTTTAATAGATGTGTGCATTTAAGCAGATGACATGATATGGTGACATTAAAGCATAGCTAAAGACAAAACTTTTTTTTTGGTTTTAGAAAGAGTGGAGAAGAATTAAAACACCTGTCAGGTTATTATTGCTGTCAGTGTCCCCATTAGAGAGAGTCATCATCTCTACTTGTCCTGACGACTGTTATCTCTGAAATGAAAAAAATCCCAAATTTTAGGCTGTCATCAGAACAGAAACAGAGATAAAATCTTCCAGCGGGGACACCAATTTTGGTGACTTTGTTGACAATCGAAAGATTTCTGAACTCTGGAACAGAAACAATTGAGTACTGTCCGTGATACTTTTTTTATTTGCACTAACATAAAATTTTGAGAACAAGCTTTCGGGGTATGTCCCCTTCTTCAAAGTCCAAGCAGTACTATACATATCACAAAGTTTCAGCAGAATGTTAGAAGAGATGAAAAAAAAAAAAAAGAAGGAGGCTAGAGATAAGATACAGCAAAAGCGAGGGGAGGGGGGGATACTACACTAACACAGAGGGAGTCAAGCTTGAGCTAATAGTCATAAAACTGTTAGATAATGATTGAGGAATCCCATGTCCAAATTAAGGCCGTTATCTCTTGTGTCAAATAGAATTATCATTCTTAGTTCAAAAGTTTTTCTTTCCTGAATGGATTTGAAATTTCCTTTAAAACTAAAATATTGATGTCTCCCATTGTGTGGCCTGGTTGTGTGAAATGGTGTCCTACAGGTGTGCAGAGGTCATCTTCTTTATGTTCCTTGATGGTATGTCTGTGCGAATTCATCCTTGTTTGCAACTTCTGTCCTGTTTCACCAACATAAGATCCTTTGCTGCATTTTCTGCACTGGATAAGGTACACAACATTACTGGAGGTGCAGCTGTATGATCCGGAAATATTGAAGATCCCTTTTGAGTGTGTTTTACACTTTTTGATGGATTGATTTGGTTGCACAGTTTGCAGCATTTTCAATTGCAGGGTGTGCTTCCATTATTTGTGACATCTTGATCAGAAGGAAGTGAACTTTGGAAGAAATTAATCTCACTTTCTGCTTTGGCTTTAAGACAGGAAGTGAATTGAATCTCTTCAATAAAACAAATGGCAAAAAGAAACTGAGTGGGGTTATAACCCTCCCTTACGTTATACAACTGGAAAAATAGTTTTGCCCTTAGTTTTACTTTAAAGCTGCCCTTTGCCCAGTTAGGGCAAAGTAATAGTTTGCTTTGGAGCACATAGCTTCCACTCCCTATCCTCCCACCCACTCACTGGCCACAGGAATAAACCTGGTATGTCAGAGTATAGAGACTCATGTAACCAATTGGCCAATTGCCAGGCACTGGTACTGCCATGAGACAGTGGTGGAAAGCTCTGGCCCAGCGTTGGGTTTGGACTTATACAGTGATTTCCTGGGTGGGAGAGAACAAAGCAGGTAAATGGAGCAGCAGGTGAGTCTATTGAACCATATATTCCTCCCCTTCCCTTGCCCTTAAATAGAACATATTACTTTTGCCTGAAACAGCAAACTGCAGGTTTAATTAGAGTGAAAGATACATTATAAATGTTTTTAGAAAATATTTGATGCCATTCATCCATTTTAAATCTGTAACTAATATATTTTATCTTACTTGAATGCTTTCAGTCATTATATTCACACATACCATTTTGGTTCCTGAATGGTTTTTGATGCACATGAGTGCATTTTAAGGCTTTTGAAAATGTTTCTTACGTCTGAGTTCACACTAGAAAAATTCTAAACTTTTTAAACCAATATTCTGAAGTGTGTTTTTATGACAACAAAATGCTGTACATTAATTTGCGTGATCACATGTAATAGAACTTACTTAAGGTGTAACCAGGGGCAGACTGACCACTCATGGGGCCCCCAGGCAATAGGGGATCATGGGGCCCCTGTGTCCTTGCCCAAACTCAAAAAAGCCTATGAAAAAGGTACTAGGGGAATCTCATGGGGCCCCCTACTGACCCCGGGCCCTCGGGCAGTGCCCGAGTTTCCAAATGGTCAGTCCGCCCCTGGGTGTAACTATAGGCAAACACCCCCCCCCCAAAAAAAAAACATATACTGTATGATGTTTTCTAGCATTAATACAGCAGATTTTGCTTTTCCTTTATAACATATATCTATTATCTATTGATCCTGCTATTAGATCAGTTTTTTTGCTTCATGTAATAGGGTGACAGCGCTGTTCTTTCTGAAGTCACAGTGGCATTGTTAACCTGTGGACAGGGTTGTCGTAGATGGATATGTAGTTTTACATAAACTTTAAGTTAAACACAAATAAATAACATCTCTGCTTTAGCTTAGCTCTTCTAAACATTAACACATCTGGAAACATGGTAAATATTTAGATTTTTTTAAGTATAAGGTTGTAATTCAATGTTCAGGTGCATTGGGGGATGGGGGGGGTGTAGTGTTGCTTTTCAAATCCAAGTACACAAAACCAGGACCATAAGCACGTGGTTTTCTGAAGTTTGTGGAGGAACTTGGGGCACCCTGCCTCCATCTCTATTGAACACCTTTGGGCTTAGTTGGAGAACCGAGTCTTCTAATCTAACACCAGAACCTGACCTTAAAGATGCTCTTTTGGCTAAAAGGGCACAAATTTCCACAGGTAAAAACCAAAATCCTGTCCAAAATCTCCACAGAAGACTGAAGCCTGTTATAAATGCAAAAGGTGGCCAACTCCATATGACCATGTTTTTGGAACGGGATGCCCAGCCAGCTCATAAAGGTGTAATTGTCAGGTGCTGGCCATATAATTTAGCTTTACAAGGGGAGAACTAGGATTGCATGGTGATTTTGAGCCTTCAAAGGCATCCAGATCTTTTGCAATTCACCTAGTTTTATGCCTCCCAGGTATAGATGTAACCCCTCAATGCATTGTTTTACATTTAGTCACACTAAACGTCATTGACATTTAGTTGCTCAGTGACTTACTGTTTAGGCCAACGTGTCTTCCAAGAACCATATGTCAATTGCACAAAACAATATTTTCATCTCAAGTCATGTGAACCTTAATTTTTTTAGAAACCAATTAATGAGCACCAAAACTAAACTATGGACACTCTTCTTACAATCTTAGACCATTCAGCATTCAAATTATTTATCCCTAGATGGGGTCTTTAAAGAGAAACTCTGATTCTGTTGAGAAAAAAACAATCTACTCTGGGTGATCAATGTACATTGCAAGGATTTGAACAAACGTTGTAGCAGAATCCTACATTTTGTTGCTGCGAAGAAATAGCTGTTTGTTTCACCATGTCCAATATGACTAATTCTGAATGGGAGGGTCTGGTTCATTATAGTCACCTTGTGTACTTTCAGTGTTCTAGTGAGAAAAGCTCCAAGGTCTGCATCCCTTTATCAGTATTTACCCTTTAAGGAGTATCTCACCAAAACTGAAATTCATTTTGAGAGGGGTGCCTAAAATTTTATTTGAATCTTAAAGCAAATCAGTGAGCCAATCACACAAGCAGGAAATTACATTTCTGGGATTGTTCTGTACTTCAAAGGTGTACAGAATGCTTCCAGATTGCCAAATTGCATTTAATTTTACATAATATTATAGCACCACAGAGTGAAAAGGAAATATAATTTTAATAACTTTAAAATGTGTACATTTTATATTATTTTTTGCTATAATTTTCCACAAGTGGTGTTACCCTTTAGCCCATTTTTCTTTCTTTAATTTTGCTCTTTTTTCAGTATTGGTGCCCTACCTATGGAAAAAGGATTTTTTTAAGCATAGACCAAACTCTAGTACCTCATCCTTATGTATAGATAGGAGTACTTTAGGCCATGCCTCTTAAGATCATGCACAATTGTTGTTCCTGTGTTCTACATTTTTGGAATGTTGATGGAACTTTTATTTAGGTGAAAAGGTAGAGCTTCTCTTTGTCTTTACTATTCTTGTTTCTCCTTTCTCCACTTTTCTCTTTTCTTTCCCTTTCTTTCTTTTGTTTCTGTCAGTTTTTATGTTACATGCGCTGATTGTGATACCCCTAGAGAATCCTGCCTGTAATGTTTTATACACCGGTCAGACTTTCTCTAGAGTCCTTGGTGTAGAGTTCTAATGTGCGTCCAGGGGCAGACTGAGCATTTGGAAACTCGGGCACTGCCCGAGGGCCCGGGGTCAGTAGGGGGCCCCATGAGTGAGATGCCCCTGGTACTTTTTTCATAGGCTTTTTTTTTGGGCAAGGACACAGGGGCCCCATGATGCCCTATTGCCCAGGGGCCCCATGAGTTGTCAGTCCGCCCCTGGTTCTCTTTAATTCATATCAGTGAAACTCGCTAATGCCTTTCCCATTTTCATGCTCAACATTTATAATCATAGATCAATGGCAGCACCTTTCAGTGCAGCGCCTTTCACCTGTAAACAGCAAATTGCAATGAATGAAGTCTGGCACATGCACTTTCTGAAGATGAGAATGACCATACACAATGATAGTCAAAGGTATCAACCTGGCATGAAGGGCAGTCTCATTATCTTCAATGGTGATTCTCATCTACAGGGAGTGGATGCACTGGTCTTGTTTTACTTTGGTCCGGTGTTTTCAGGTGAGAGGCACAGTGCTGGAATCATCATTGGAGTAGCATGTGCAATTGCGGTTTTTAATATTAAGAAAAAGTGGAGTGAGGTGGATTCATTTTAAAGTATAGGTGCCCTTTAAGTATATAAATAGATATTGTGGCTTTCAGGAATTTCTATAGCCTTTGCATGCCAAAATCTTTTGTGAGCATTTTATCAAATAAGAGTACTGGGCTGCAATTAAATAAAAATTGCATTTTCAGCAGAATAATTACATTTATGGCAGTTTCTTAAGTGAGAATTCTTCATATATATGCTGGATATGTAGTCCACTAGTACTCTCAGAAGCCTTAACCTAATGTAATGAAAATCCCTATAGCTTTAACACTGTATTATGCTGTGTTCTTGTAGACACGCTTCATTGATGTCCATTTACTGGGTAACAATATTTTCAGCAGTGCTGTTCCACCAATCAGTTGTTACATTTATCAGCCTGCATCAAGTACAGGCAGTCATCAGTTAGTCCACAAGCTATTATTCACATCCATAGAAACCATGTCTTCAATCATTTAATCTCAACTAACTGCTGCTGTGTTATGAACAAATTACTTTCATATATTAAAAAAAATACAGTCCAAAACACATCCAAATTCAATAGACAAAGTTGTTGGTTTATTTTTGGCATTTTTTGTGTAGGCTAAATAATATTAAAGATCCTCATAGATGGATTGAACAAAGGTCAGTCTAAAAAAAAAGGCAACTGAGCCAAGTGGAAAGTTATAAGTCACTGGCCAAATTGTAACTGCATCCTATCAGATGTATGGGAATTCAGGCAGATGCAGTTTCTGTGGCTGTCTAAATACAATAGCCAATGGTGGTGATTCCTCCATCTATGCTATTAGCATGGATGGGAGAATCCACTGACCTTCTCTTTCTCATCCCATAGACTGAATGAGAGAAAATCAGCCTTAAGGTGTCTATTTATAATTTATTTTACACAATATTTACACAAATATTACCCAAGATTCAAATTTTTTTAAAACTTGCATTCCATTTGAAAAATGTGTGAAACGTGTGTGAAAGCTGTGTGAAAATATGAATAAATATACCCATAACTGCTACATTTTCTTTAACCGCTTATGCTCTGGAGGATTTTACCCCCTTCTTGACCGGGGCATTTTTTGCTCTGCTTTAACTAGTAATTGTGCTGTCTTGCAATGCTGTACCCAGACAAAATATTTATTTTTTTCAGCTTTCTTTTGGTGGTATTTGATCACCACTGGGTTTTTTATTTTTTGCGATATAAACAAAGAAAAACCTCCAATATTTTTTACTTTCTGCCACAAAATATATCTAATAAAGAAATAAAATAAATTTTGGCCAAAATGTGTTCTGCTACATGTCTTTGATAAATAAATCCTAATAAGTTTTTATTGATTGGTTTGCATGAAAGTTATAGCTCCTATGGTATATATACAGGAATTTATTTTGATACTAATGGCGATTATCAATGACTTATAATAGGACTGCAATAGTATTTACAGTGGGCAATCTGACACTAACTGCCACTGGGGGGAACTGACTGGTAAAATTGGGTGAACGAGCACTAGAAAGAAACACCAATACAAGAAAGCAGCTGACATAAAAGGTTAAACCTCAAACCCTCATAAAACATAAATTAAAAAATGCAGCGCTCTAAAAGAGTGACAGACTATAGAAATAAATAAATATAAAGTAAAATCAATATAAACGTTCATATAACACAATAAGAAAGTGTCTAAGTAAACGCACATAAAACAGTTGCAACAGCTTGCGTATTATTATACAGCAGGAAAGTGCACAGTCCAAACAAGGATGAAAATAAATGCGCTGTGGCTCATGCAGCGTGACGTCACTGGCTCGGCTCCTCCCTTAGGGATGTCACACCGCACGAGCCACGAGGGAGGCCGGCGGCTATCTTTGATACTGTTTCTACATTCCTGTATACCCAGGGGTGGACTGACAGCTCATGGGGCGCCCGGGCAATAGGGGATAATGGGGCCCCTGTGTCTTTGCCCAAACTCCAAAAAGCCTATGAAAAAGGTACCAGGGGCATCTCATGGGGCCCCCTACTGACCCTAGGCCCTTGGGCAGTGCCTGAGTTTCCAAATGGTCAGTCCACCCCTGTGTATACCTGAGCTGCATTCCTGTATACCAGATGTGAGTGCTTTCTGTCAAATTACGTTTTTACCATTGAATTAATAAACATACTGCACTATCAAGCACTTCTCTTTATGGCTCATTTATTTTGAGCTATTAAGGTGGATTCCTTAAGTGCTTTATATTGGGTACATACACACTTGATGCAGAGTTTTCCTGGAATCCAGAGAGCAGCAGTGGATGGTCAGCTGATGTGCAGACGTATACCAGATGATCCCCGTGGTTACCCCAGGATGATGATGACCAGGAGTGGTCTATGTTACTCAAAGGCGCTATCTGGTTAGTGCAGCATATTATCATTCCCACATTTACTGGAAGCACTGATTTTCACTTACCTGTATATTGGACATTTGCTGTCACCTACGCACCATTTGCTTCACACTCAGACACAATCAACACTATTACTGTTGTGCTCCACAGTGCATTTATTTTCATCATTGGGGGGAAACTGACTAACTGCCACTGATATTACCAGTGACATTAATACATGATCAGTGATATTACTATACATTGTCACTGTTATAATGACACTGGCTGGTAAGGGGTTAACATCTATTGATCAAGGGGTTAACTGTGTGCCTAACTATGCTTACTATGTGTAAGGATGGCTGCTTTTTACTAATGATCTCTGCAAAGCAGGGATGAAAAACACAGATTATTCTTCTCTGTACAGAGCTCTGTGTTGATTGTCAACACAGAGCTCTGAGCTGTGCTTATACACAGCCTATCAGCAGGTCCCAGCTATGAATCATTGCTCTCAGGCTTCCACTGTGTGCAATAAAATACTGAAGCAGGCAGCCACCCACGGTATGTCACTTTGCCTGTGTGGACCGCCAGTCCGCAGAAGATTGCGGACAGGCATGCGATCCACAAGTGGTTAAAGTAAAATTAAACCCATATGAATGTGCTTTAATATATGTGTAGTGAATGATATCATTAAAAGGATTGTGTATATATTGCTAAATGATAATCTTTGTAAATATCCTGTTTTCTATCCTTTCTTGGTCAGTCACATAAGGTAATCAGTAACCAATGAGAAATATATGGGTGGAACACATTTTGTGCATGTGCTGCATCCTGCTCACACCACTGCAGTGTTTTGTGATCTTAGCCACTGTCTGCACAGAGCCATTTGGGGTTCTGGTGGTTATATCTCATTTGTGCTCTGGTGTCAAGATAAAGATAACCTCCTCAAAATATAAATAACATTTATTGAAAACAGACCTATGAGATGAGTGCTCGTAATTCATGCACATTAAAAACACCCAAACATTTCTTTACAGTCTTCTGAGTTGCTTCACGTGATGCACAGCATGTGGGACAGCTCAATGATCGTGATTGACAGCAATGCACTTTGAGTTCAGGGTGTTCACATGGGCAGAATAAACAGAAGGAACAATGCACAACTGCCCTCCTGTCAAGTAAGAAGCTTGAACAGCTCCACCTGACATGCAGGAGAGTCATGTGGGGTGGGTAGCTGGGATTGGTAGGGGAAGTTTACAGCTTCCTGATAAAGAACTTGGAGTATGGTCAGATTGGTAGGGGAAGTTTACAGCTTCCTGATAAAGAACTTGAAGTATGTGCAGATTGGTAGGGGAAGTTTACAGGTTCCAGATAAAGAACTTGGAGTATGTGCAGACTGAATTATTATTATACAGTATTTATATAGCGCCAAAAGGTTTGCTCAGTGCTGTACATTATAGTGGTGGGCAGTACATGAGGCAATACAGTAACAAAACAATACATGAGGGGTTCGAGGGCCCTGCTCTTTCGAGCTTACAATCTAGGAGGGAGGGGATAGTGGTACAGGAGGAAGTGGCTGTGGGGGATAGATTGGTAGGAGAAGTGGAGGAGATTGGCTGTTAGGTGAGGGTGGGGTAGGCTTCCCTGAAGAGTTGGGTTTTCAGGGTGCGCCTAAAGGTGAGGAGGGTAGGTGACAGTCTGATGGATTGGCGAAGTGAGTTCCAGAGGATGGGGGAAGTCCTGGAGAAGTCCTGCAGTCGGGCGTGGGAGGAGGAGACCAGGGAGCTAGAAAGTAGTCTTGTGAGAAGCGAAGGGTACGGGTTGGGTGGTATTTGGGTATCAGGTCGGTGAGGTAGTTTGGGGCAGCATTATGAATGGCTTTGTATGTCAATGTTAGTAGTTTGAATTTAATGCATTGGGCAATTGGAAGCCAGTGGAGGGAATGACAGAGGGGGGTGGCAGAAGCGGAGCGGTTGGTAAGGTGAATGAGTCTGGCCGCTGAGTTCAGGATAGACTGAGACGGGGATAGCTTGTGTTGGGGTAGGCCAGTGAGAAGGGAGTTGCAGTAGTCCAGACGTGAGATAATAAGGGAGTGAACGAGTTGTTTAGTAGTGTCTGGGGTTAAGAACGTACGTATTTTGGAGATGTTGCGGAGGTGGAGCCTGCATGAGTTTGCCAACGATTGGACATGGGGTTGGAAGGACAGGACAGGTTTGAGTCTAGAGTGACACCTAGGACTTTGGCTTGTGGGGTGGGACAGATGATGGCATTGTTGGTCGTGATGGAGAGGATGGGGGGTGGGGCGCGGGTTGGGGGGAAAATTATGAACAGGAGCCAGGCGCTGTGTAGTTTTGTGATAAAAGTAATACACCTTATATGGAGGTGTGCCTTTAATAATTCATATGGTAAAAAATAGATAACC